TTATTTGGTCACGGCTGGAGACATGGGCACGACTCTGGGCACGACGCGGTCTAACATGGCAGTTTCTAGAAGGTCCAGTCAGCGGCGGTTTCTAGGAGACTTCGTCTGCACGCCTTCTGGAAGATTGACGAGCAGAGTTGCATTAGGAGACTAGTTTAAGTTTGAATTTAAATTTAAAAACAATTATCTTTTGTATTATTTTATTATTTTCTTTGTTTATCCTTTAGGCTTTGAGAGGCTATAAATACCCACTTGGGGTAAGCCTAAACTCATCATTCAGAATACATTCTTCTTTTCTCTCTAGTTTTTATAAAAGTTTTCTCTTTTCATTTTCAAGTTCTTTTTATTTTTCTTTATTTTCAAGTTTTATTTTTATGCTAAGTATGATTTTTGTCATGCTTAGCTAAACTTTTCATAAGCCGAGAGCTGTCGCGATGATTGAATTCCAACGGGAGAATTGAAACGGTCCCTTAATATCTTCGAAATATCTCTCTCAATCTCTGCGCTTATTTTTCAAAATCAAAACAGTTTTCAAAATCAAAGATTGACTTTGGTCAAGAGGTTGTTGCGATTAAACGTGTGGGAGGAAGATTCGGCTTATAGAAAGCAATTCGACTTCTTGGGAACACACTTGGCGAGATAGCTTCGCCAAGAGGGAATTGAGATCGGAATTGACAGTTATAGAAATAACAATCCGAGTCGGTCGCCACGAACTTAAATGGTATTTGATCTACGACAATAGATGTTGTTAGAATCAACTACCGAAGCCGAAATCAAAGATTTCCTTGGGTATTCGGTATACAAGATAGAGTCACAAGGATAGCCCTTGTAGACAAAGTAACCGACGTGAATCCCGAAGAGAAAATCTTATTCGATGATCTAAAGGAAATTGAATCAAAGCGAAGCTTGAGGCTACTTTTACCGTATTTATTCACAATCTTCATCTTCTTATTTTTACTTTAATTACTTTTATTTAATCACTTTATTATCTTTTACTAAAATCCCCCCATTTTTACTGTTTCACGCCTGGCATAAATAATTCAGACAGAAATTTATAATTTTCTAAGTCCCTGTGGAATCGACCCTTACTTCTCCTTGCTACGCATTCCTTAATTTATTGATTGAGAATAAGGAACTATTTTGACATCCGAAATGACAGTTGTCAGGGATTGAATTTGGCAAAATGAACTTTGGGTTCGAACTCAGGACATCGAAAAACATAAGATACAACTTTTCAAAAATTTTAAATTTTTTGTCAAAGTCAACGGTCAACGGTCAGATCGATCAACGATCAAAGTCAATGGGTCAAAGTCAACAGATTGACTCACACGAGTTGACTCGGTTCAGACCGGTTTGATTGGACCAGTTTCAGAAACCTCCTATATTGGCGGAGGAGTCCCACTCGCATGTGACGACGACGGGTCAGGGGACGGCTGTCGATTACTCCAACGCATCCAATCAACATTATCAAGCCAAACGTTCATTTTTGATGTTAATAATGAATTGACTGATTGCATTTCGATTTTAAAATCAAGGCAATGTTAATTTATTAGGTGATTAACAATGTATCCTCCACCATTGCTTGCGGGTGACCACTATTAATCTCTGAAGTAAATCGACATCCTTTTTAAACTCTGCATTATATTTTTTAAATTAAGGCAATGTTCATTTATTGAGATTGATAACAAAGTTTCCGCTTGTGATTGGGGGTGGTCGTTATTGGTCTTGGTAAATCGACATCCTTTTAAAAATTTCATACATAATGAATTTTAGATTAAATACAATTTTGAACTCAAAAATTTTAGTTTCAAAAATAGGGTAATCAACTAGGTATCAATTTTGGGCATTGAGATGCTAATCCTTCACCACGTGTAACCGACTCCCGAACCTAATTTCTGATTTCTCAGACAAAAAATGGGTAGTTTTGATAAAAAAATGTTTCATTAAATTATCTGATTTTCGGTGTTCTAATCACACCTTAAAAATGATTGGCGACAACTCCAAAAAAATTTAAAAACATTTTTCAAACAACATCGATAATCAATTTTCAGCCCAAAAGCCAATCATCACACCGAAGATTCAGGTTAAAGCTCGTCTTCAGATGAGGAGTGGGTTAAGGAGGCAATAATTTCGATATTTAATCAACATAAGGAGATAAAAAAACTTGAAGAAGATAATAAGGAGATGAAAATCGAGAAGAAGAAGAAGAAGAAGTATGAAGGCATATCAATCCAACGTAGCAAACGACTTATAGAGAGGAATGAAATAAAGAAAAATAATAGTGTAGAAATTGAGAAGAAGACAACGACGAAAAGTTGATTTTTATGTTGAAAAAATATTTTAAATATATGTATGAATTTGTGTTTAGTTCAAAGTTATTTATGAATAGTTTGCAATTATATATGAAAAGTTAAAAATAAATATGGTTAATGATGTTCATAAATTATCGTTTAAATAAAACTATGAAGTCTCAATCACTACGTCTAGATTATTCAGCAAATAGGTAAGAGTTGAAAATTTTCCAGTAGCAGCTTCAATCTTCATCTTATTATATATATCCCTTCAAATCGGGAATCGAATCACATCTTCAAACTTTCGATTCTTCAAATAACAATGGAGCTTCGATTTCCCTCCCTTTCCATCCTGCTTGCTTCTTTTCTCTTCTTGTATGTAGCAATCAAAACAGTAAAGAAAATGACAAGCACAGATCCAAACAAGAAACTGCCGCCAGGACCATGGAAACTGCCCATTATCGGCAACCTCCACAAGCTCGTGAAATTCGGGGCACAACCTCACCAGATTCTGAGAGATTTGGCCAATCAACATGGACCCTTAATGCACCTCCAGCTCGGCGAACTCTCCACCGTCGTCGTTTCATCTGCAGAGATGGCCAAAGAGATCATGATAACACAAGGTCTTATCTTCGCCGATAGACCTTACGTGGCTGCTCTAGATATCGTGACATACGGTTCCAGGGACATCGCCATGGCACCGTACGGCAATTACTGGAGACAAGCACGAAAAATTTGCACCGTGGAACTTTTAACAGCTAAAAGAGTGCAGTCGTTTGAATCGATCAGGAAAGACGAAGTTTCAGCACTTGTGAAATCTATAGCTTCGAACCAAGGCTTGCCGGTCAATCTCAGTAAGCAGATTTTCTCCTTGACGTATAGGATCGCATCTAGAGCAGCATTTGGCAAGACGTGCAGCGACCATGAATCGTATTTAGTGGCTGTGGAAAAATTAACAAAGCTAGCTTCTGGATTTAGACTTGCAGACATGTACCCATCTTTTAGAGTGCTCGAGCTTATTAGTGGATTGAAGCAGAAAGCTGGAACTTTGTTTCAGATTTGTGATGGGATAATTGAAGGCATCATAAATGAACATAGAACCAGACTGGAGAACGGAAGAATTGGTGAAGAAGACACCAAGGAAGACTTGGTCACTGTTCTTTTGAAGATTCAACAACAAGGCGGTCTTGAATTTCCCCTGACAGATAAGGAAATCAAAGCAATCATTTTTGTTAGTATCTTCTTCTTCTTCTTCTTCTTCTTGAATTAAGCATGAACTAATGTTGGGGCATGATTTGGCAGGATGTGTTCAGTGCAGGTGGTGAAACATCATCAACAGCTGTAGAATGGGTAATGGCAGAAATGGTGAGAAATCCAAGGGTGTTAAAAAAGGCACAAAGTGAAGTAAGAGAGATCTGCCATGGAAAAGGAGATGTAGATGAAGCAAGTCTTAAAGAACTAAATACTTATCATCAGTCATCAAAGAAACCTTGAGGTTACACCCTCCATTCCCTCTGTTACTTCCAAGAGAAAGCCGGGAGGATTGTGAAATCAATGGCTACCAAGTTCCCTTCAAACTAAAGTCATAATCAACGCATGGGCCATAGGAAGGGATCCCAAGTACTGGAATGAGCCTGAGAGATTTTACCCTGAAAGGTTCCTCAATAGTTCCATTGATTTCAGAGGAACGGATTTGGAGTATATCCCATTCGGTGCAGGAAGAAGAATTTGTCCAGGAATATCATTTGCTCTTCCTAACATTGAACTGGCTTTGGCAAAATTGCTTTACCATTTTGATTGGGAGCGTCCTGATGGAATAAGGAATGGAGACTTGGACATGACAGAGGCTTTTGGTGTGACCATGAGCAGAAAAAATAATTTAGTCTTAATTGCTATCCCTCCAAGTTAATTATCTACACAGTAATATTTTTATTTCAACCCTAGACATGTTTCGATCATTTCTGCATTCAGGTTTTGACCCTGAGAGCACTTGGAATGTAATAATAAGATTCTGGGAATAAAATGTTTTAAATTGCAAAAGCTTCTTTGTTTCGTGTTCTAATCATAAGCTTAGATTGCGGTTGAAGATTAATATTTTTAACTTCAATTGATTTTGACTGTTTTTTCCGAAATTGATTGAAAATAATAAGATAAAATGAATAGGTGAAGGAGAAGTCAAGGAAGATATTTTATCCTAAAAGATTCAATATTCTTTGTATAATAATAAAATTTATCTCCAATATTTATATAAATAACGTGACGTATGACGTATGACACATCATCACTTTAAGTTACGTGACACATGTTATATCATCATTTGAATGCATTTGAAAATACCATGTTAGCAATACCACATTTGAACACTTTGCTGTTAGTAATTATGCACACTAATTTAATCATTTTTATGCTAAAACCCCTTCCTTCTGTCCACTCCTTTTCAGAATACATTAATCACTCTTAAGTTATTTATATAATTATGAGACCCCGCCCCCCTTTCAAGCTATATCACTAGTTTCCAACAATTCTGAAATTTCCATACATAGTTCAAGTGCATATTATAAAGCACTAACGTGTTTAGAAAAGAATGGCATATAATTTCTAACATGAATCGAAAGTCTTAATAGTGTTGTCTATGATAACACGTCATATAAACAAAAAAAACCAATTCTTATTTTTAATGAATTGGGCCCATAAATTAATTATAATACCTTTTGATGCAATGATGGGTCTATAGCACGTCTTCTAACACGCCATATCTGACCATCGGCAGGGATAAGTCCTTTTCCCATGAAAAAATCCAAAATCTCTGCTAATATACCCTTCACATTAAATAAAACAAGAGATGGGATAAACAATAAAACATATCAGCCCATCCAAGGAAAACCAAGAAGTATACCATGGTTTACCTTTGAATAAGACTTTGAGTTGTCCCTCAATATATGCTTAGCAATGGAAGGATCAGAAACAATAAAAAACGACTGCAGGAAAATCCCATCACCATGTGTATCAACAGAAAATCCACAATTATCAAGGAGAACGCTATATACTAGTGAAAAATTTAAGCCAAAAAGGGAAAAGACAGATAAACCTTTGATCTAAAGGTTAGCCTGAAAATCCCACCACAAGTGATGTAAAGCTCATACAAAGGGATGAAGAAGGCCTCACTACGGATGGCCTTAATCGACCCTTTCGCCTCTGGAATCTTGGGATATTCTTCAACATCATCTGCCTATTTAAATAAGATTTCAAGAAACTCGCTGGGAACACCAGGTTTCGACAAACCATTCCTCAATTGAGAAGGGAAACTTTTTCCCAAGAACAAAAAGACATAAAAAACTGCATATTAGCAGGAATTATTATGAAATAAAAGAAATACAAAATCAGAGAATAGGCTAAGCATGGAAAATTAATTGAACACCCCTTTTCCATAATTGAGCCAAGCCATAAACATGGAAAACAAAAGATACAAAAGATATTATTCTAACCACAATTAATTGAAATCTTATGAACTCGACCTGTAGCCATTTAAGGTATAGCTAATCTTTAAATGAAAGCTGAGAATGACTAGAAATGTATGATGTGAAGGAAAGATGAAGTATTTTGATGGTGCACTGTCATATGGAACTCGGTTTTGATTTGTTATTGGTTTACATAGAAAATTGTGGCTGATTGATAGTTTACTCCAGAGGAAAGTTGTGAATTATTGATGTGGTTCAATCTCTTTTACTCGGCAAAAAAGTTCTTGTGAAAATCTAAAATATAGATAGTTGTAGCTTCATCTTGCATGGTTTCTAGGGTTTGAATCCGTATTTACATATGATTTTTGAAGTCATCTCATTCTGTGAAATGATGTGGAAATGTGCAAGGAGGCATATAACACTTGGAGATTGGATTACCATCATTTTGCAACTTTTTTTTATGTGGTCATTTTAATTGGATCGAATTCATGGGACCGTTTCTTTATTGCTTCCGTTTTGTGTGTTTTGAGCTGTTTGTTTTTCTATGCACCACAGGTGGAATTCCACTTATTACATTGCCACATGTCACATGAACTTTTATATTAGTTTTTTTCCTCTTTTAATTCTATAAATACCTTGGAGGAGTATGTGTGACCTTGCTAACCTAACTGGTGAATTCTAAAACCTCCACCTGCAGTGGATGGGATGATTTTCTCTTTGTTCGAAGTTATGGTTCAAAAGCGCATTTTTTTCCTCTTCTTCTGCCATACTTTGATTAGAATATTTATGACATAGGATCTGTTGTCTGTTTTTCACTTAATTTCTTCTAGCAAGACAAATTTTCTTTTTTCTGCCTTCTCAGTGATTGGTACAATTTAGAAAAGTCTAAGCGTGTGAAAACATTTCGATGTGGGGAGTTTGATGATTGCATTGAAAGGGCAGAATCCTCACAAGGTATGCCACCCAAGAAAGAGAGAAATATGCTCGACGGGAAGACGCTATCCTATATGCGCCTGAACTTGAGAAGGAAATATTTAGAAAGCAAGGAAAATGGGACACACCTTCTAATGCAAGATGTAAATCATCTGGTTCTGCTAAGAAGTGTTAGGAAAATAAACCGAGTACAAGTAATTTCCCTTTAACCAGATTAGTGAGAATGCGAAATAAAAGCGGAAAAATAATACCCGAAAATTGATAACGGAGTTCAGCCAATTGTGCTTACGTCTCCGGGCTGCTGCAGATCTTTTACTAAGAGAGAAAATTTACAGGTGTTTACAAAACACTCACTACTCACAAGAAAGCTCTCTAGTATAGGAAGAAAGAAATGTTTTGGGATGATTTTGAAGCTAAATGGGTAAGGGTATTTATAGTAGAAACTTAGGGACTAATCTTTGAAAATACCCTAAAGTGCAATGACTAAAGTGAATTTACCCATTCCTATTTTCAACAAACATCTACCAAAATTTTACCAAACTTTGAAAAACATTTTTCAAAGAAACATTTACCAAACTTTGAAAAAACATTTTCCAAAGTTGGTTGCCAAACTTTGAAACTTTTAACAATCTCCCACTTGAAGACTGATTTTAATATGTCTTCACACCTCGATCAATGCAGCAGCATGTCTGGTCTTGTTATTCTAGCATGCCAACTGAAGCTGAACACAACTTCAGTTTGTCCGTAGTCACCGTCTTTGTCAACATGTCTGCCGGATTTTGAGCTCCACTAATCTTTTCAAGTTTCAAAATCCCATCTTCCAGAAGAGACCGGATAAAATGATATCTCAATTGTATGTGCTTTGTCCTGGAATGAAAAGACGGATTCTTTGCTAGATGGATAGCACTTTGACTGTCGCAATACAAGATATTGTTTTCTTGTTTCTTGCCTAACTCTTCCAAGAAACTTTGGAGCCAAACCATCTCCTTGCTGGCTTCCGTAACAGCGACATATTCTGCTTCAGTTGTGGAGAGAGTAACTATCTTCTGTAGTTGAGAACCCAGCTCACTGCGGTTCCTCCTAGAGTATAGACATACCTTGTAATGCTTCTTCTGATGTCGACATTTCCGGCTAAGTCAGCATCTACATAGCCTGTCAGTATCATATCTCCACCTTTGAAACAAAGTGCTTTGTTTGTGGTACCCCGAAGATATCTGAGGATCCATTTGACTGCTTCCCAGTGTACCTTGCCCGGATTATTCATGTACCTGCTAACAGCTCCCACTGCATGAGCAATATCTGGTCTGGTACAAACCATGGCATACATCAGACTTCCAATTGCTGAGGCATACGGCACCTTCACCATGTGTGCACGTTCTTCCTCCGTCTTTGGTGATTGGTCTTTGGAGAGTCTGAAATGAACACCTAAAGGTGTACTTACTGGTTAGCATCTTGCATGTTGAACCTGGAGAGTACTTTGTTGATGTACTCAGCCTGTGATAACATCAAAGTCCCCGACTTTGTGTCTCTCTTGATCCTCATCCCAAGAATCTGCTTTGCAGCGCCCAGATCCTTCATAGCAACTGCTTCGACAATTTTTGCTTCAAGTGTATAATCTCTTGCATGTCTGAGCCTGCAACGAGCATGTCATCAACGTACAATAATAAAATATGAAGCTGTTGTCGAACCTCTTGATGTAGCAACAATGATCTGCTTGGCATCTGATAAAACCACTGCTACTCATGAAGCTATCGAACTTCTTGTACCATGTCTAGGAGCTTGTTTTAAACCATACAAGCTCTTCTTCAACCTGCATACCAGGTTTTTCTTGTCTGCCTCTATGAAGCCTTCTGGCTGCCTCATATAGATTTCTCCTCCAAATCACCATGAAGGAAAGCTGTCTTTACATCTAACTGCTCAAGATGTAAATTCTCTGCAGCTACAATTTTCAACACCAGTCTGATTGTAGACAATTTTACGACTGGAGAGAAAATTTCATTGTAGTCAATACCTTCTTTTTGCTGAAAGCCTTTGACAACCAATCTTGCTTTGTAGCGTTTGCTCCCATCGTGCTCTTCTTTGATCCTGTAAATCCACTTGTTGTGGAGCGCTTTCTTGCCTGGTGGTAATTCAGCTAATTCCCATGATTTGACATAAGCGAGTCCATCTCATCTTTCATGGAAGACTCCCCTTGACTGAATCCCCACTTGCATTGCTTCATCAGCACTCTGGTTCACCATTGTCAGTCAGCAACAAGTAGTGTAAAGAAGGAGAATACCGTTGGGTTGGTTTAGGAATTCTGGATGAGCGTCTCAGTTCTGGTGTGCCTGGTTCTTCTTGAACTGCTTCAGGATTGATCTGAACATCATTTCCAGAAATCTCCTCGAACTCAGCAAATTCCTTTGTTTCAGCTTCGGTATTACTTGATTCTGCGGTTGATCTATCTTTGTACATCACATTTTCATTGAAAATGACGTCTCTGCTTCTGATGATCTTCCGATTTTCATAGTCCCAAAACGGTAACCGAACTCATCACCGCCATAACCAACAAAGGCACATTGTTGGACTTAGCATCAAGCTTACTTCTTTCAACAGAGTCTATGTGTACATAAGAAATACAACCAAACACTCTTAAGTGTGAAAGGTTTATTTCTTTCTTGCTCCAAACTTCCTCTGGTATTCTGCATCCAAAGGAACTGAGGGCCCACGGTTGATCAAGTAAGCTGCAGTGTTGATTGCTTCAGCCCATAGAAATTTGGGCAAGCCGGCATGTATCCTCATACTTCTGGCACGTTCATTCAGAGTTCTGTTCATGCGCTCTGCTACACCATTATGTTGCGGTGTCTTGGGAACTGTTGTCTCCATCTTGATCCCATTGTTTGCGCAGAAATCTCTGAATCTACTGTCTCTGTACTCTCCTCCATTGTCAGACCTCAACCGCTTGACTTTCAAACCATCTCATTTTCCACCATGGCCTTCCATTTTCTGAAGATATCGAAGACTTCTGATTTCTTCTTCAGAAAATAAACCCACACCTTCCTTGTTGAATCATCGATGAAGGTGACATAATATAGTGAGCCTGCAAGAGATGGAACTGGGGATGGTCCCCATACATCAGTATGAACCAATTCTAACCTTTCTGCCTTGGGTGTCTTGCCAATCTTTGCAAAACTGACTTTCTTTTGTTTGCCAAAGATGCATCCTCGCATAGTCCGACATCTACATTTTTTAGATCCGGCAGCTTCCCTTTTGACAAAAGTGTCTTCATCCCTTTCTCGCTCATATGGCCAAGCCTTTGGTGCCATAGGTTTGATTTTCCATCAGCATCTGCTACTGCAATGATATTCTCTAAATTTGAGGTTACATAGAGAGTACCAGTCTTCTTACCACGAGCAATGACGAGTGCTCCTTTGGTAATCTTCCATTCACAGCCTGAAAAGGTTGTGCTATCCTTCTCCATCAAGCTGTCCAACAGAAATCAGATTTCTTTTGAGGCCAGGAATATGTCTCACTCCTGTCAGCTTCCAGGTGGTCTGGTTTGGCAACTTTAGTCGGATGTCTCCTTTTCCGACGATCTTTAAGGTTTCATCATCAGCAAGATGAACCTTCCCAAAATCACCACTGACATAGTTCTCCATGATTTCTCGACATGGGGTGGAGTGGAAAGATGCCCCTGAATCCAAGATCCATGATTCAATCGGACTGTTGACGCTTAAAATCATGGCATCACCTGTCTCCTCCGTCATGTTGGCAGATTCCTGTGCGCCGGTATTTTTCTTCGTGCTCGGCAATCTCTTTTGAAGTGACCCTTTTGCCGCAATTATAACAGGTAAAATCTTTATTTCCTGTTCTTGATTTGCCCCTTCTAGATTTGATCTGCCACGATTTGAATTTCTTTCTGAAGTTCTCCCTCTA